CTCGTGGAATGAGGTTTACCTAGTTCGAATTAAGCGCTCCGGTAGTTCGAATTAAGTTCGAACTAGCGGTTTGCCTGTGTAGCGCCTATCAAAGTTAATTCGAACTAACGTCTGTTAATTCGACTTAAGTTTGTAGTGTAGACATACCCTATGAAACTATCTCCTCTGGATTTGTTCCAGAAGAGCAACTGTTTGCACTAGCTCTGGAACTAGCCCACGATCTCTCTCTTGCAGCACCCTTTGGAGTAAGCGCTATTATGCCCAGTTTACAGATTAAGACACTCTATGGAATGAGTCAGTATCACCTCATTGGTCTAGAAGGGGATGGGCAAGTTTGTCGGCCTATGGGCCATATCAAGAGATGGAAATTGTATGGAATGTTCTTGACATTGGGGTTGGGTGCAGGAGGGAGGGTGCGCTTCCTCTAGCTGGAGATGCACGCTCTGGGGTGGGGCCAGAGATGAGAGCTTTGTGGTGTAGGAGGGTGCACTGGGCTGAGACTGAGTTTGAAAGGCAGGAGGGGGATCAGAGCTTGGGCCGGGAATTGGGGCAGCTCCCATTGGCTGCGATTCCCAGCCATTGGGCACTAAGGGGATAACGCGTGAGGAAGGGGCACAGAGCCCTCTAGCTGCCCCTACACATAAGAGCCAGAGGTGGGACATGCTGCTGTTTCTGGGAACCACAGCATATGCAAGCCCCACTCCCCTCCCCAGCGGGACCTTGAGGGCCAGATTAAAACAGCTGACAGGCCGGATGCAGCTCCCGGGCTGTAATTTACCCACTCCTGGTTTAGAATTTCCAAGACACAGCGAAGCAGTTGAGTAAAGCTAATAAAAAACCCATCAAGGTAATGTGCGTGAAGCAGGCCGATGGAGCTGTGCTGCAATTAAGTGGCGTGAAATCAGCATTTCGCACAGCACACTGAAGTCCGGGTCTCTCAAAATAATAATGACTCAGTAATGTGGTGCTCAAATCCTAATGTTGAGATGATTCAAGTTATACGTTTGCCCCTAATCATCCCATCATTTGTACAGTTAATTCAGTCTCTGAGCTGTCTACAAACTGAGCTCCCCATAGTCCATCATTGGCACTATTTCATTGTAAGACTCCATTACTCGTAGAAACTAAGATTTCATTACTCTGTGTTTGCTTTGGTAATCAGCAGTTTCAGTGGCAGTTAAGTCTTTAAATAATATATTTCACTGAGATAGTCATAGGTCCTCGAAGCCCTGCAGTAACGTCAGCTCAGACTAAGAGCATGTTACATCTCACTAGCTAAGCAGTTTCACACTGAGCCCAGATCTACATTTAAAAATTAATCAACTTAGCTATGATGGTCAGGGTTGAAAGAAATGTGGCACCCTGTGCTGTGTGGTTAGGTAACTACAGCTAACTTGATGTGAAGAGGTCTTCCATCAGCCTGGCAGCTGCCTCTCCAGAACGCAGATTAACTACAGCAGTGGTGTGACGTAGTGGGGGTACCTGGCTGGTTTCTATGCTGCTGGCTCTGGGGTAACCCCCACTGGCTGCCGTGGGTACCACGACCCAGCAAAACAGGATGAGTCACTATGCAAAGGGACCTCTCAACCAGTATGGCCAGACACCCCCCATGGAGAGGAACAAAGGAAGGTGGAATGCTGCCCTGGCTGGGGGGCAGGGCTGGAAGAGGGTGGGTTAGTTGCTGTCTGGGAGCATGGAGGAGACAGCCTAGGGAAAGGGGCTGGAGTTTAGGGGCCCAGTCTCCCCCATCTCAAGGGGGCCTGAGGCATCCTAGCCCAGCTCTGTGACCAGATTCCATCTGTGCTGTGCTGTATCCTGGAGGAGCAATAAACTTCCTCTATTCCACCGGCTGGTGCAGTCTGTTTGTGCCATTTCGGGGTGCAGGAGACGGGGGACCCCCAACGCGCCGTCCCACTAGTGGTTACCAACTTTTTCGAGCATACGGACCCCGTTTCAATCTATTAAAATTTCACAGCCCCCCCTCTTCCGGGGGGGGAAGATTGGGATCCTTATTTTTAAATTTTCCACGGACCCCCTGCAGTACCACTGCAGACCACAAAGGGTCCACGGACCACAGGTTGAGAACCACTGAACTACAACAACAGGAAAGTATGAAGTGTCTACTACAGCTGCAGGGCTGTAGCTGTGCCGGTGTAAGAGCTGTAGCGGAGATGGTCTCTACGTCAGTACTTAGTTTTGATACATCCAAAGTTGCTGAAGTAGGTGATGATTGAGTACTTGGTGCTTTTCTTTCTCCATTAGAACAGAACGAATGTACCAGGGTCAAGATCTTGGGCCATGTGGTGGATGAAAGTGCCTTCTTTCAAATCAAATGTAAAACCAAAAGGTCCTGAACACTTGTCTTCTCTGAAGATATTTTGCTCTGAGTGGAATAGATAAACTCTAATGTCCTGGCCAGATTCACACTGGGGGACATGTCACTATTATCATTTACTGTTTGCATTGCCATACCCACAGCCCCAAAATGAGTTTAGGGCCCCATTGTGCTGGGTATATCCACACACACATAGCTAGAAGCAGTCCCTATCCTAAGATCTAAATAGATCAGACAAAAGATGAGAAAGGGGGAAACTTAGGCACAAGACGATAAGCTGACTTCTCCAAAAATCATGCTGCAAGATGGTGGCAGAGACAGGTATAAAACCCAAATCTCACAGCTCCCCAGCCACTGTCGTCTCCAGCCTGTTGTCTGTTCCCTGGACTGACTCTCCGTTTTTCAGTAGACTCAACGGTCACTTCCTGTCCTAGAGGGCCAGGCAGCAGCCCTAGGAGCCGTTTCACAGCTGGGCCCAGCTCACCCCAGCGGACTTGGAAGTCAGGCTGCTATTTCCTGAAAGGAGCAGCATTCCCATTTGTATGTGTCTGTCCCAGCCCCGGGCCAGCCTATAAGCAGCCTTGCTCTGTGTGGTCACAATCTGTTCTCATGGCAACCTTTGGCGGTACACCTGCCTATATTCCGCCCAAAGTGACATCACAATCAGTTATCATGGTAACCATTGACATCGCACCTGCAAATAGCCTTGCCCAGTGATGTCACATCATGTTGTCATGGTAACCTCTGGTGAAGGAGACCCTTGCAGAATTCCAAAGGAATTTCAACGACTTCCAGCCCACCCTTAACCTTAGCCTGGACCAGTCCACACAAGAGATCCGCTTGACACTACAGTACAATTCAATGATGGCCACTTTTCCGCCACCTTATACCGCTACTGACAATTACACTTACCTACATGCCTCTAGCTTCCATTCCAGACACATTGCCCAATCAACTGTTTACAGCCAGACCCTTACAACCGGATTTGCTCCAGTCCCACAGAGACAAAAACCTTGTTCTACAGGATCTGTCAGACATTCTTAAAACTTAAGAAAAGTTAAAAACCCAGAAAAGTGAAAAAAGTGAAAAAAAACAGATTGACAGAGCCAGGTGGCATCAACTTCTTCAAGAGAGGCCCAACAAAGAAAACAAGAGAGCAGGCATCAACTTATTCAAGACAGGCCCAACAAAGAAAACAAGAGAACACCACTGATCATCATCTACTGCCCCCGACTTAAACCCCTCCAGTGCATCATTAACAATCTACAACCTATCTTGGAAAATGACCCCTCACAGGAGACAGGCCAATCCTTGCTTACAGACAACCCCTGAAGCTCAAACAAATTCTTTCCAGCCACCATGCAGCACCCGTCCATCATACTCACCCAGGAATGCATCCTTGCAATCAACTCCGCTGCCAACTCTGTCCACGCAACTACACAAGTGACACTATCACAGGCCCAACCACATCCGCTGCCACATCAGAGACTCACACAACGGCACATCCACCAATGTGACCTATGCCAGTGTTTCTCAATGAGTGGTATGAGTACCCTTGGGGTACTCCATAGAACCATAAAACTGGAAGAGACCTCAGAAGGTCATCAAATCCAGCCCCCTGTGTGATTGACCGGGTCGTGTCTGGGCACAGCTGAGGGCGTCTGCTCAGACTGAATTGCTCAAATCCGGGGCTCCTTACAGCCCCCAGACTGGTGACCTCTCAACACAGGCCACAAACCAGTCCCACAGAGCACTTAA